TTCTGAAGAGATTCCAAGATGGAATAATGCAAAGAATGTCAGCGACAAGATCGCATTTTTAGGTCAGATTCAAACTACACATTTTCTACCTGGGTGTGACCTCACTTCACTTGCCTGGGCACGTCATACCACCCAGTTCAAAGCATGCCCAGTGCATTTTCAAGGCTCTCAAAAGGTGTCATCTCCTTACAAGAAGGTGTTTTAATTGCCTAGGTAATGGGGCCCTCTGAAGCGCCTCCACAAGCATGCACCGACTGGCTAAGACCCCAAGATTTCCTCGCATTAAACAAAGCAACAATAAATAAGCTTGAGTGAGATTTCAGGGGATCTCTGCATACAATGGACCATTTATATGACACAAACATTGGCAGAAAACCACTTTGGAGCTACAGTATTGTTCCTGAGCAGATTGCACAATATTTTATGAATTGCCATTTGTCGGTTTGTTTTTACATGGTACAACACAGCAAAAAGGACTGATGGGGTAAGAAACTGCAGTAACTTCGGGTTAGCCCGCCTGCACTTGCTTAATCTCGGGTATGGTAGAACCTGCTACTGTATTAATTTTATAAAACTGGCAATTAAATAGTTTTCCACCCTTTTTGAGAGCTGCATTTTCCTGAGAGTGCATGTAAGACAGCATTGTCAAACTGTGTAAGAGCACACTTCACTTCTATTTCAAACAGTGATGCAGCAGCAACGATAGAATGGACTGCAACATAGAACCATTTGTCTCGCCTCACACTGACAGTATCCATGGACTGTTAAAACTCAGCGCTGTTTCCCCCCACCCTCCTCTTTCTGGATGAGTAGACGCCTTTCTTACACGAGTTTGTGGTTACTGCATCTCAAGAGGCTGTTTGTTCTAGGCTCTTGAGGGACAGAAATGAGCGTAAGCAACCGACATGCATCACTTACAGACAACACGATTGTGGATGCAAACACATGCAGAATAGTTTGATTTATCACAGCAATTGTCAACTGATAATTACAAAAGCCAGTAAAATTAACACAATGGAAAGCATAGATGATAATCAAACTGTTCTATACTTTTCAGAGTCTTTAATTTGTTTATCATATTCATTGTATTTAAGGAAAAAAAAAAAAGCAACCAAGCAACCAAAAAACCCTCATTCAAACTAGAAAACATTAGACTGCTCTTTATGTAAAGCTGGCATGGTACCTGGCCCTGAGCATTTGAAACATCACAGCCATGTGCAGGGAGCACTACAGTTAATGGTTATACCTTCAAGTAATTGGTTGCTTAGCTACAGACACTTACATTTGCGTTGCTGGGGGCCTATTGCTCAGCTAGAGTCAAGCTGGTTTTTAAATATGAAATCAATGCATTCACTAATTATTTCTGAGGCCATTCTTGCACTGGACAGATATAAAAATACACAAAGAAAATCCTGAAGGGATGGGGAAGAAAAGCAAGAATTCAATTTGCATAGACATTTCCTTCTCTATCCCCCTTTTTTGGAGGAACAAGATTAAAGGGATTTTTCAAAAATCATACCTACCAATTACACTGATACAAATTCAGAAATATTTATTTCAGGCAGTGACAACAAGAATCTAGGTCGATTTTAAATCCTCTGAATTTCTACCGGTGTATGACATCATTCAGCCATTAGTTTTTCCACATTTATTTTCTTGTCATGACTGCACTGTAACATAGTGCTGCTCTAAGTATTACTTCAAGATATCTCAGAATAAATCGTCAGAGCTAAGACATGAGCATACAAAGCATCTAGTATCTTAATTCTGAAACACCACAACATTTTATTCATATCTAAACAAATGGCCAGATTTAGAGGACGTTTTCTGGATTTGTTAGCAGTGGTTGTACTCTAAATCAGAGACCACCTACTGTTCAGGGACTGCAGATTTCTTAAGTACAAAGAAAATGCAGCACAAAGAGAATCAACGCTCCACAGCTGACAGGATGGATATTTGACAGGTGTCACTCACCAGGTTAATACAAATGGACAGATTGATGAAATTCAAACAACATCATAAAAATGAGAGCGAAAGCACAAATACAAGTTAGGTAAGCTACAGTATGTGTGTTTTCTAATTAGTTCATCTATAAGGCATTTCACTTAGACATAGCAGGTAAATAGAAGTGGCACATGAGGAAAACTGAAGACTAAAGTGCTGGTGTGATTATTCCCACAATGCAATAAAGCTATTGAAAAAGTCTTTACATAACAATTACAGCCTATTTACCTTCCACAGATGTTTACTACTACATGGTTTACAGCTGTAGCTGTCCCATGCTGTAGTAGCGTGTTACATGTGTCTACCTCTGTATGTGCATGTGTATACTATCTCCAATATTCAAGTCTTCCTGGCTAAGACCCTAAATCAAGCATAAGACAAAACTAAATTTTAGTCACCGAACATTTTAAAATCCTACTTATATATATATAATGATTGTACTACAAAAGCCTTTTAAGACAATTATCAATGGTGTAATCAAACATGGAAAGTTGCACAGAAAGGCCAAGTTCTACACTCACATGTATGCAACCCCCCCAACTCCTTTCAATCTACTGCAGAGCCAGAGCTGCATATACACAAGGAAAATTTCACTTTTTCACTATGAAAGTCTCGCTTGATTCTACTACTGTAATACCTTACCCTTCTTTGCCTATCTCTCCAACTTTAAGTGCTTCACCAAGTGGCTCTTTACCAAGTTTGGTCAAGTTCATCTTGGTCTCCAGGGTCATTAGAAAAGATCCATTGTAGGACATTTCCAAATCAATCCAAAGTCCTAAAATTAACAACAACAACGAAAAGATGTCACTTCAAGAACAGTCACAATCACTTTATTTTAATGTCAAGCCAAAACTCGTTTAAAACAAGTCTGTACATCACACTTTTTCCAAAGAAAAAAACTTTTTTGTCAACCGATGTCATTAATTCAAATAATTAAAAGCTTATCAGAGCAAGTTTTCTGTTCACATTAAGCTTATGTAACAAAGTTGAATGTTCAGATATGAATCAAAGCCATGCTGAAAGACAGATCAGCGAGTACAGCTAATGATCTAAAAAAAGGAGCGCGATTTATGCACACCTAAACTGCTTAAGAGATCTGAATCAAGATAAAGAAGATAAAATACAATCAGAGATTCACTTCAAAACTATTTACAGTACTACTCCAAGCCAAACAGTAATGAGGACACTCCTCTGTATTACTTAACGCTGTCCCAAGGAAGCCAAACTTGAAATCCCAGAGCAATATTGCTTGTCACACATCACAACCGGCAGTCTCTTTTGCTTTCGACAATGGTGTATCAAAGAAGTATGAAAAGGTTTGCTCAGTAACCCAGCCATAGGCATTCTTCTTATGACTCACAGCAAACAGGGTCATTACTTGGAACAATTCTAGATGTGTAGTATGAAGGTAAATCCTGTTGTCTGGGCAGACTATTCACTTATCGCAGTCACCAAAAGAATTGTCTTAGGAATAATTGCAAGATCAGGTCCTGCCTCTTAAGTGACACCCTGCAGTCCCACAGACTAAAATCCCCCCAGATTAAAAAAAGCTGTAGGGTATTTGTGATCCAGAGATTAGAAATCAGATGCCACTAAGCATAGATTATGCATCTTCCTTTTCCAGACATTGCAGCTGCACACAATATGCCCTACCAGTATCTGGCACATCAAGCACTAATGCATTCCACTTGTATTTACTTACTCAGAAGCAATTAATGGTAACTACCCTTTTGGGTTTGACTGATCTAGAAAAGACACACCTTTTCAGTTAAAGACTGTTTCCTTTTCTGCAAAAACATATCAGATAATGGCACTGTCCCCAATCCCACCCATTTATATTAACAGAAATATGCAGAGCTCCCAAAGACCAGGTCATTGACACACCATGAGGTTACATGCTGGAAGCAGTACTGAAGGCAAGCTGCTTCTGTACTAACCCAAACTATTCTTTTCTATCATACAGTTTTTCTAATGCTGTTCTGAAATAAAACACAAGCTTCTATAGATTCTTCCTATTTGCTGCAACAAAGTAGCAGTAAGATCATCAGGAACAAGAAAACAGCTTAACAGACCTTTTGGATAACCAATGAGTCAGCATGCTTCAAATGTCAATGTTGTTTTAACAGCAGATCAAATTAAGCAAAGGATACCATTACCAAGAGGGAAAATTCCTTCTGGCCAAAAACCGTTCATACGCATTTTCCAGAGGGAAAATGGGACATAGGGGCAGGAGAGGGGCTGAAGAACTGGGCAGATGGTGCAATTTATTCAGAGTTATCTGGTTCCCTAGCCTTGACAGAAGTACAGTAAATACTACAGCATATGCTGCCACCCAAATAGGACTGTATTAACAGAAACAAGATTTTTTTCCTAACATTGTCTGTTAGCAAATTTAGTTATTTAGAGGAGCCATATAACAAAAAAATATTTTCCTTGTAATCAAGCACTGGTAAAAAAGCATGGATGAAACAAAGCACATTACAATTAGTGACTGCATTTTAAAGCCTCACAACACTACCTCAAACGACTGATTGTCTTAAACCCTTAAAAAATTCTTAAAAGAGTTCATTCTGGATATTGGCCTGAAGTTTTAGGATTTTTTTTTTTCCATGCGTGGCTTATTCATAGGTCAACTTACCAAATACATTTATCCTTATGAAAACAAGCTTTGCCAATTATCACCCCCTTATTTATTTACACCCTTTTAAGTACAATACCAAAACAAGTTATTTCAGTAATTATTCAGAGCAAGCTCTTAAAAATTCAGATACTAAGAGTTCACGTCATTCAACAATAAGAAAGAAGTTACAAGGATTACAAATTCTACCATAAATGTTTGCTTGTCACAGCTTAACTGAACAACAAACTGAAGGAGTTAATTGTTCCCACCGCTATCGTCAGCAATTAATTGAAGCCAAGTGTTCAGCAGTCTCCTAAATCCCATCTCATGACTTAGAACTACAGCCTTTGGTTACAACTAAAGTTATGGGAACAGAGAAAGGAATTTAAAAAAATATTTAAATCTAGGCAAAGGGAAACCCTGACAAGAACCCTGAAGTGTACATTTGTTTAAAAAGAAACCACAAAACCACTTGGCAAGCATCACACATGTAACAATTTTTTAAAGTTTTCACTTTCTTTTCTGTAAGACTCAGAATAAAATTTCTACCAGTGGTGAAGCCACTTTGCTACTGGGAACACTGGAGGACTTCATAAGTACTGTGGAGAACCTGCTGTCCCACGCAGGAAGCATACGACACGTAGCAGCAATATGGTTTAGTTCCCCGAATACTGATTGCACGTGAGCTTATTCCATCTATTCAACTTTTATTTCACTTAAAAGACAGTTTTTATTCCTCATGACAACTTGTTCTTTTCAAACATGCTTTGTTTACAAAGCTCAGTGGAAAAACATACTTTCAAGAAGTAGAGAGCAAAGTACCCAGTGTTTTATAGATAAGGCTTTTCCCCAAAGAGTTGCAAGTCTCAAGTGAGATAAGGGCAAACAATAGCATTTGGATACAAACAGGCAGCATTAGTTAACACGTGTATGTCCAAGAGAATTTTAATAATTCCCCAAAGTCTGTTTTGTTCACACTTTTACAAGGGAAAGGTTAGAGCTTACTAACCTTCTCATGCTTTTAGTCAGTGATTTGAGTGGCACAACATTCTTAATATTAGTGATAAAGTTTATTTATTTCCTCCTACATTTCATGCATCCGGTATTCTCGCAAAGGTCTGATGATAACTGTTCATCTGAGTTAGAGAAGAGCACTGTAGTAAGAGTGGCAGACAAATGAGTCTTACATCAAAACTACAGTTAAATAAACCTTAAAAAGACCAGGTCCAAACTATATACCATGAGCAAAGATGAAGCCTGAATTGCTTCTAAGCAGAAACTGGCTCATTATCTAACACTGTGCACAGCTGAATTCTATCACAAATTCTCCATCCTGGGGAACCACTGTTGCTTGACCTTTAAGAACAGTGAGCAGAACTAAGATCTTGAAGAGACAAACCACTCCAGCGAATGGAAATTCCTCTCAAACCCACTGAGTTCAGCACTGCAATCTCCTCCAACCAGCACTGCAAGAAAGGACACGGTACTATATACCTGCTGTGTGTTCAATACCCTCATGCTCTGAGAAGATACTAAAGAAACATGATAATCTGTTCCTCACTCAGAAACACTGTGCACAGGAGAGCCAGTGAAGATTGGTCCTGTTAATGATTTTCAGCTAGTTATCTGTTCCCACTTTGCTCTGTCCATGTTTGTTGTTGCTGTTCTAAGAGTGCTACTGAGACTTGCTGAAGTTTGGCTCACTGCTGGCCTTGCTGGCCTGTAATTTAGAGCTTCTCCAGAAGCTCTTAACATTCTTAACAAGTATTGTAAAATTCATTAAATTCCTACCATCTCGCTACCAGTTTATTGGTTTCAGCACCACCTAGAAATGATTTTGATATCTTAATCTAAGAGTTGAAAGAGCAGTTTAAGACAAAAATAAGTTGTTTCCCATGCAATCCGCAGCTGCACCACAACAGATCCTCCAAGGAAATATTTCCCTTTAGACCAATTAGAAACTTCTCCACCTTGAGTTAAATAATTCTCTTTCACTTCTCCAGTCCAGTGTAACAATATGGTAACCGAAGGAGTGAATGGAGTGAGAGGATACAAGTTAAGAAACCCTTAAACTCAGAAACAATTTAAGATTAAAGACTGCTCTGATTACATGTCTTAGAAGAAAGATGGCATCTACCTCTCCTCAGCGTGCAGAACACTTTTGAAGCTAAAACACATTAACCCAAGTTTGTCTTTTTGTGAGACTGCTTAAGTGACAAGAGTATCCTCAGATATACTCCTGTGACCACATGCAAGCCAGAAAGAACAGAAAAGAAAAAAACAGTTATGATTCAGGAAGCAGCAGTATGAAAGTCAATCAGCTTAAAAAAAAAAAAAAGTATTTAATATTAAGGACATAAAATTTGAAGTTTCTTTTCAAAGCAACACTGTATCCTTGTTTTATGAGTTATTATAATTGTATTTTCTGAATCACTGTTTTCAGAACAGGACAACTTCTCTTAAAGAGAGCCAAATCTGTTTTCTGCTATGGTACAGAATCAGATCTGTCTTGAGGAGATGTGCATTGCTCTCTGTAGTCCATGACAAAGTATCAGATACAGGTCTAGCATCTCTGTTGCATGTAAATTTTAGTTTAGTTCAGTAATTATTTCCAATGGAAAGACATGATCATGTTTCCATATCTATAGAATTATGTTTATACCAAGCCTGATGCTACTACTACTGGAGATACAGACCACTCAGTATCTCCTCAGAATAAGCTCTTGTTAAGTGTACCTTCCTCTGATTAGAACACCCACAAGACAAACAAATCAAAATTGTTCTCCACAGGTACAAAAGGCATGAACCTGGCAAAACCAGAAGAGGAAGCATGTATTTTACCTCTGTGATCAACAGAAGGTTTGAAGGCTTGAAGGATCTTCGGCACTGCTATCCCCATGTCAAGCTCAGTTAGAGTTAGCTCATTCATGAAGTACGGCAGCTAAAAGAACAGAACGTAAAAATCAAATCCATGTTACAGAACTAAACATCATTGTTCCCTGAGAGAAGAAAGGTCATTAAACTTAAGGAATGGATTGAGCTGAAAAGCCACCAGTGAAAGAACACGATTACACAAATTTCTTTCAATTCTAGGATTTCACAGTTATCAGTTTCAAAACAGTATTTTAGGGAGACATTCAGCATCTGAACTTGGAATGTTTTTAAAACTATGCTGAGGTTCAGATGCTGACCTTAAACCTCCAGCATGCTTTTAGTCAAAGGATGTAAAAAGCTCAAGAATGAAGAGTAAATCCTATTTTACTGTGAATAAAAATCAAAGACTTCTTTGGATTTTAAATTCAGTCACATATTTTATAGTTGCAGTTATATCAAGTCTCAGCTATTTTTATCTTCGGCAAATTCTTTCATAGCACATTAGCTTTTAAATATGTATCATAATTTTAGGATAATAGAGGCACAGAATCACGATGATTTGGGTATCTATTTACTGTAAGTATTTCTAATTGATAGAAATTCTCTCTTCTGTGAGCAGACAGTGCTTTAATCTATCAAAAATACATCCATCCCCCATTGCCAGTCTTTCCACTTAAACTGTTTCCAATGAGATGTTTGGGTACCCTGCTGTCACAATTGTGGAAACAGCCAGGGCAGAATTAGGTTACTGCTTGCTTCCCAAAGCACGAGCAATGCTATCTCACAGCTGGTGCTGGCAGCTAAATTTCAGAGCTTTTGTCAGCAAGAGTACATCTTCCTTTGCCTTTAGGAACAGGAAAACTCCTCCCCAAACATCAGGAGCTAAACAGCCCTGTGATTAACGGCCGCTGTTCAGAAGTTACAGAATGCAAAGGGAAGACCCAGAAGTCATTCAAAAGCATGCCTCCTCCCTTCACCCTTTGAGCTTAGGCAGTTGATGCACAATTATGTCCCATCACACCACAGACAGCTCTTTCCCCGACTGTTACTCCCACTGAGCTCTCCTGCAAGCAGTGTACGTCTGAAGTTAATAGGAACACATTAGAACTGTGGTTCCCTGACCTCCTCCATCTTAAAGGCAATCTACTATTTCCCAAAGCATATTTCATAACTTATAAGCAGTTCTATTTATCCCTAAAGCAAATACAATAATTCTTCTACTTTTTACATAAAAATGTCACAGACACAAATAGTTAATCCAGCTGTAGTTCATTTGAAACTGAAGCAGCAAAGTTAACATGTTTGAGATCCTACTGTGAAATGGATAGCAAAGCTGAACTGGAACTCTGCATCACATTCATTTACTTGTCTTCTACATACAAGTGTGAAATAAGCATTTCTTCTACTGTTCTAAAACTCGAAGATTATGTGTTTGTTTTCCTCCATTAGGAATATGCAGTGCAAGTCTCCAGATTACCTTTATTTTGCTAAGTTTCATTTGGATCTTCTTTGACACTAGATCAGACCAATACTTTTCTCCTAAAAAATCCCAAAATATTCTTCCAAGCAAAGCATTCACCCAGGCCTCCTGTTCTTCTTCTTCAGCTTCCACATGGGCATCTGGTAACTGAAAACACAGAGCAGGTTATTCAGCTCTATAAATTCTATAAACTAAGGTCAGAAAAGGCCTCATTTACACTGGGAAGTTCAGTGTTACAGGCCGGGTTAGCTAAGAACACTAAATGCTCAGCACAGATTGCAACTTTACAACTGCATCAGCTGGCCTGACATGAGCTTGCTTGTCATCCTCCTGACATGCAACAGAATGAATGAGACCGCATAGACAGAGATTCACTTCCCGTAATGAAATGAGAAAGTTGTATGTAACTTAACCTCTGGCAGAAAAAGCAGGTAAGACCTGGGTGGGCAGGCTTAGAAACGTGTCTGTAGTAGAGACTCTCTCTCTTCCCATTAGGATCTAGAAGAACAGCTACCCTACTCTTCTTTTGTTTTATCAAAAAATAGGAAAGTAAGACCCAATCTTACATCCTTAAATCCAGTTCAGGAACATCACCAATAGATGATAAACAAATGCAGTACAGGGAAACTAATTCTTCTTTCCAGTGTTTGTATATATGATTCAGGAAACCATATTGTTCCTTCTGTTGCATTAAAGGTTTTGTTTACAGTCCAAGAGGATTATGTCTTGGTCTCAAGCACTTGGAGATATATGTTCAGATGTTGCATCACTGACTATAGACATGAAAGCAAAGGCAGCTGAAATAATTTTGGGTGTGTACATGCTACCATGTATTTCATTAAAACCAGGAGGAACCATGAAGGAAAGATAACATACTTAACATCTCTCAACTGCCTGCAATGAAAGGAGAATTTGCCTTTCATCATTACAGGCAGAAATCCTGAAGCCAGCAGAAAAGCAGTGCTTTCTAAGAGCAGTCAGGTAGATGCTACAGTTCTGAACACCATTTCTTGGCAATGACTGCTCCCAATGGCTGCAGCCTCATGCAGGCAGAATTGCTGGGTTAGTAGCTTCTGCTGTGACGCAAGTTTCCTGCCAGCGCTGTTGATCTATTTATAGAATGATTTCTGACATGTGCCAGATTCAGCAGCAAATTCATCGCTGCTTCAGGGGTTGTCGGAGGCTGGAATATCCTTCTTCCTGGGGGAACACAAGGTGTGTTTATTCCTATGTTATACCATGGCCTCCTACTCCTTTCTGGACATTGTATGCAAGTCTGGCAACCGAGACGCATGACACAAATTACATCTTTTAAATGAATAGTGATTGTACTTCACATTAAGGATCCATTTATTAAGAGTGTCATACTTAATATTAAGGTTCTGCTTATTAAGAGTGATTCAAATGCAGTCCAAGAGGCCAAAGGATTAGTCGGAGCTATAGACATTGTTCACTATTACACTGCTATGTACTACACAATACTAACACATCAGCCATTTAGTATTGCTTTAAAAGACATTTAAAAAATAGAAACCGTACAATCCATCCATCCATCCATGCCTTACGTCTTTTTGAGCAAGGCTGTCCAAATCAAACTGTAGTCTAAACAAGAGCCAATTCCATTTCTGTCCCCCAATCAACCCCAGCAGCAGGTATACTGCAGTAAAAACTGTCCCGCTGTCGTTAAAGCCACAGGCAGAGCACCATCAGGTACACACTAAAGGCAAATTCCTAGCCCTATTCATGGCAACAGGGCCAGGACATGATTCTTGAGAAGAACTGAAGAGGTTCAGCATTTTCCAAAACATGCAACAGAAAAACAGTTCTCAGGTCCAGGACAAAAAGCACTGCTTCCAGAGTGCATGAGTGATGCCAAATGTGGGGCTGAAAACAGATTTTATGGTGTAATATCTGCACTGAAAGACTAGTACAAACAGCATCCAACTTATACTTGTGTTATATGACAATTCTGTCCCAATCAGGTGCGCAGAGGCATTCAGGAACGGTAGAAGGCCCTTACCTCCCCCACAATCAGCAGAAAATGAAGATCAATTTTACTACCAAGTACTAAAAATTCCACTTAAATCATTTCAACAAGCCAGGACCTCAAAAATATGCTTTTAGTTCAATCTACTTTAGAATATACACAGAAAAATTTAACTTTCTACTATTATCGGGAAGTGAGGTTTGTGGAATTTTGTTAGATTTTGTTTGTTTGTTTTAATCTTAAGCATAAGATGCAAAATCTCTTGGGACCAATGGTTTTTAGGACACACAAGAAAATCTACAGCCATATTGCCTTCAGCTGTACAATCTTTTAGGTACAAGACACTACAAAAGCCAGAAAAAACACCGATGTTCTTGGGAGATAAGAAATCAAACAAAATCAATGAAAAGATTGGGTATTAGGAAAAAATTCTTCACGGAAAGAGTAGTCAAGCATTGGAACAGGCTGCCCAGAGAGGTGGTGGAGTCACCATCCCTGGAACTGTTCAAAAAACGGGCAGAGGTGGCACTTTGGGACATGGTTTAGTGGGCATGGTGGTGTTGGGTTGATGGTTGGACTGATGATCTTAGAGATGCTTTCCAACCTTAATGATTCCTAGCTTTTACTTTCATTAAAAATAATCCAGCCACCAAGCCAGGAAATGTGAAATTACTACTCTACCCTTAATTGGTTTAGTGGCGGACTTGGTAGTGTAGGTTAATGGTTGGACTGGATGATCTTAAAGGACTTTTCCAACCTAAACGATTCTATGATTCCATGAAAAACCTGTATGTTACATTAAGAAGAAACTGCAGTTAACAGGGAACTGGCAAGCATGAAAACCCACACTGACTTTATAAAAAGTTTAGGTCCAACCTGTGGTTAAAGAAAGTAACTTTTCTTTCTACATAACTAGCTTTTAAAGTAGTAGTTAACAAGATATCACCACCTCTGATGCATCTTTCAGGGGAAAAGTATTACCTTTTTCACAGCTGTAGGGCTGCTATCTGCACTGAGGACTGGACTACCTGAAGGGCTTTTCTTTTCATGTGGAACACACTTTGCCATATAAATATTGTAGTCCAGAAGCATTTTCTGCCGCACATGGCCAGCCAGATCCTTGTGCTTTGGCTGGGATGCAATTTCTTCTGCACTTCCCTTGCTGCTGCTTCGGCTGTGTGTGAGAACTCCAGATTGACTATCGGTTCTACTGTGTGTTGGCAAGATCCCTAAATTAAAAGGAATAATACCTGTTTAACAGAAACGGAACCTGACAGTCAAATAGCAGAGCGTATGATCAAACACTTAAAGGAACAAAATTAGCTTGCAGATATAATTTATTCTGAAAAAAGACCAGAGTAGTGCTTTCTCATTTTGAAGGGTAAAAGTAAATTCCACTACTGTGCGCTTAGGTGGTCCTAAGCCCAAATTAGTCAATATTTGGTATGATTCAGCACTCAGCAGGATGTGGGACTGGAAAACTCAGCTGATCAATAGCATATTTAAATACGGACACTCACATATGTATAACATATGGCAGAGTTCCCAACAGCCCTGCTGGGGAATGCCTACAATTGAAGTCAGGTGATTAAAACGTACCTATAACTAAACTTTTTTTTTTTTTTTAAATTTAATTATAGGCTGTTACAATTAAAAAGGACTGTCAAAAGCATGTCACTATGAGAATTTTAATTAGCCATTAATTTTGCATTTGCATTTTAAGAAGTTATGTGCCAGAAATAATGATGTTAACCAATTTTTAAAAAGCTTCTCAGAATAAAGACAGAAAAGCATGAGTCATTCAGATTTAAAATTATATCAGAGGATGGTTTTAAATTAATATTTCAAACATTTGATCAATACTGTAGACTAACATGTTTGTTGGTTCAGATATATATATATTAGCACAGGACTTTTTCTCTAAACACAGAAATGCGTTTGCTTGTGACATTAACCCGTGAGAAAGCTCTTTAGTCTTTACAGGAGGCTGGAGTAGAAGGAAGAATGGAGGAGAAAGAACGGGTAAATAAGAGGACTGAGTCTAATACTGCAAATATCAACATCAGTTCCAACAGTATAGAGAGGAAAAAAAAGGATTGAACAATTAATCCTAACAAAAATCACAAGAGTTGTTACAGTCACTGAAAAATAGTGTATTCACATAAAACAGTCTAAAAATAGTAAGAATAGTTCAGGGCATATAGCCAAGTATATAGCCAAGAGAGGAAAAGGCAGGGTGGAAAGGTGGGAATGAGAGGCCAAGATAAGGAGCAGAAGAGTGTCTTTAGTATTATTTGTCTGTAAAGATCACTATGGCTCCACAGTTGCTATAACTACCCTGGGAAAACATAACTTTGGTTTGTTTCTTTTAATAGACGCTTTTACTAGAATTCAAAATTTGCGTACCTGGCTTGCTCCCACAGAAACTGGATAGCTTCTTTGCTTCAGACTTCAGCTTGGATGCGAGAAGGAACCTTCTGAACCACTCCTCCTTCTCCCTACCTGTCCTTCCAAAGAGATAAAGCACTTGATCCTTTTGGCTAGCGTACTTTGCTCCATCCTGAGGTTTCTTGGATTCTTCATTGTTCAAGTCCACTTTTTCAGCAGATAACTTTTCCTCTGTATTCTCTTTATCAGTCTGGGCCTTAGCCATAAAGTCATCCTGTCTAGCAAGTTCAATGCAAATAGGATACTTCTTATTCCAAATCCGTTTTCGTGCCAGACTCTTAGGAACCAGAGAAATCTGAAGGAAATATGAAAGGGTTAATTTAACTTATTTTTCAGTTGTATCTTCTATGTGTTTCTGTAGTCACCTAAAGAACACAGGAACACGAGAGATACAGATCCTACATTGGATCTACTGGGTTTAACTGGCTCTTAACTTCTAGCTAGTTGTTGTCCAATCCACTGCTGTCACTAGGTCTTTGGTGAGCCATAGCCTTGGAATTAAAACAAGGACCATTCAAGTAGCTTAGACTTCTACAATCATGTGGAGAAACTCAGTTTTAATTTAAAAGATCTTATTCTCATAGTTATGCAGAAAAAGTAGAAAAAACAATAACCTTATTTCTGTGACCAGGGGGTAGGTAATGAGAATCTAAACTGAGTTTTAAAACTCAACTTTTCAGGCCCACCTCATGAGACCGAATGTTTGAAGTTGGCAATTGTTACATCAAGTATGTAAGAATCAAGGAATAAAAGTGATTTTATTCCGTTATTTATAAATTATGTTCTAAATCCAGTATATTCAGAGAGAATTGAGACAATGCAAGTGATGAGAAGAATAATAAGACTGAATTTACCCGCATTCTCCAAAAACTGTGGTAAGTACCTTGGAGAATAGCCGTACTTTCCTTACAATATTCAGGGCACCCAGCACTTTCGCAACCAATTAAGGGTGGGGGGAGGAGGAAGTACTGGAATTTTTTCTAAGATACCGTGGAGAACAGTTGTCAGTCAAGTGCTCTGGTAGCATGTGATAGCTTTGCTTGTCTTCAATATGGGAAAACAAGTCTGCAATAGGCAAGAATCTAGGTTTCTGCTTTATCTTTTTCACCATTGTCTTTTAATGGAAAGCAGAGCTGACAGCAAGCTCCTTTTCCATACTGATTCAGGGAAACAAAGGGAGGTTTTCCTCACTGTCGCCTCGGCCCCTCTCTCCCTTCAACTCCCACAGTCAATTGAAGCATAGTTTCCTCCTACATCCGTACTGCCAAGGTGCTCTATTGATGCAGCACATCAAAAAAAACCCCATTCTTTTAATAATGGGGTATCAATGTATTACTTAATACAACGCCAATGGAATCAACGTCACATGGCAACTCTGCACAGATTTGAGGGAGGCAAATAACATGTAGGAAAACTGTCCCAGCATTATTCTTGATGCACTCTTCCAACTGCAAAAATCCCAATCTCCTTCCCCAGACGGTGGGTACCAACAGCAAGTCGTGTCTGCTCCAGCCACCTCTTGCTCTCCCGTTTTACATCCATATACAATGTATGCTCCCCCTTCAAGTGAAATGCAAATGTTTTTCTGAACTGCCTTGGGACAGAGACAACCACCAGACTATGCATTTTGGTGTAAGCTTCAGAACAGCCACGCAGTAATCTAATGTACGGGGAACAATTCTCTAAACTCCCATGTGTTAACTTCTGCTTTGAACTGACAGGAAAAATCACCCTTTTCCTTTACTGTGTAAGTATGTAATTTTTTTCTAAATCCTGCTCAATCTTCCTCCCCAGCACAATCTTTTGCAATCTAGTCACAACGGTTTTGTTTACATAATGACAGCACACGAAACTAGGGGAGTGAAAAAAAAAGTCAAAATTTAAAAAAAAAAGTTTCAAAGTATTCTTTATTAAAATCAAATCTAAGTAAGGCACACTCACCTTGCTCTCTGTAAGTTCATAAATTTTCTGGCTGACATACGTGACTTCAGGCTTTGGCTCATTGTACACAGCCCTTCTAGAAATATTTTTATTGGGTTTTGAAAGTCTTAAGGTGCTTCCTTCGAGTCGTACATACACAGAGTGAGTCAATGTAGCATGGTATGTTTCTGGATCATAATTATAAATTTCATTCATCCATCCCTAGAGAAGAAAACACTTGTTAACAGGCTCTTAAGCTGCTGGAAAACCAAGTACAGCACATACATCAAAGTTTTAAATAACTATCCAAGCTTTTGCCAAAGTTATGTCAACTTACTGTACAAATACAACAAAGCAGTAAACGCCCTAAATGAGGTAGCACCAAACTGACAGAGCATGAGATGAGGACTGTATCCCAAGCAGACGATTTGTTTTTCTGAGTAAATAATTCTGTATATGTAGCACAGCGCTCTTCCAGCCCAGCTCCATGAAGCGCTGCGAGGTCTGCAGAGGCAGGCTTGCTGGGAAGAGCCACAAGGCAGCCAGTGAGGGCATGCTGCAGAGCAGCCCGTCTGCTTCCAACAAGCACGGACATTTTCATAACCAACAGTCAAGGCAGAGCAAACAGCCTGTCTGCTGATAGCCAGCACTGACATTTTAATCACCAACGATTAAGGAGCGGAAGACCACAATGGAGTTTGTTTTAACACACCATCCCCGTTTAACACCATTTAACATGTTGTGTAACTGCTCACTTACAACACAGGAGTCATACACATGGGGGTTACATTTCATTTGTTTCTGTGCAGTGAAAGAAACGGAAAACAAACCAACCGGCCCTGCTGTCACAAGCCCATACGTGCTGAGTCTAACCATGGGGGTGATGTTACTCCTCTTCTCTAACATCCGCTTACAGAAAATGAAAGATGATAGATGGGGCAGAAGACAAGCCAGAATACTCATTTAAGGAGGACAAGTTCTCCTTCTCTTAACCTGCCCTACAACATACTTTGCTAAGTACTGCTACCTGCACATCAAAACCTTAATTCAGCATACTTAATATTCATTAATGACAACAGAAAGCAAAGGAGATGGACCTAAACAGACGTACCCTAGAACGTAAAGCAAAATGGCATCTCTATAAATACCTAGGTGAGTATAGTAGGGGGGAGAGCATCTGCTGCTGGGAAGTGGGGAGAGCTGAACGAGCATCCCTAGTATTCTTCAAAACAAAAAAGTTGTAACTACCTTATGCAAAAGACCCCAGAAATTTCTGCAACATTTTAACTTAAAGAAGTTTCCACCCACACATAGAAACGTAAAATTTATTTTAAAGCTCATTTGCTTCAATGCCATATAATTTCTTGAAGTAGACAGCATACACTTTCTTAGGTGCCATAGTAACAGTGACATCTATGTTTTGCTTACTCCAACATCTAGCTCCATTTTCACTATAAACCCAGAAAAACCTAGATAAATTAGCATTTCTTTTATGTTCAGGAAAGATTAAGTCATTCATCTTTGCTCAGTTCCAAAGCAGACTACCTCTTTTATTAACAGAAATATCTATACCAACACATGCTCTTTGAAGAAGCTTTGTGTTTGCGTTTTTTGCTTACCCTGGGTTACATACAACTACCATATAGGAAATACAATGCATGAGGAAGTTTTCTATAAACCATCGAGGTTCTGCACAGCAGGGCTCATGTATGTTTGAACACATCCCATTTCCTTCCTAGAAACTGTTAAGCCAAGACATCTTTGAGCAGACAGCAATTAAATTTCAGCCAGGAACTCCAGCTGGACTTACTGAAGCACAAGGACATCACGCAAGTTGCCTAAAGCCACCATAAGCCATTCACTCTGTGCAGAACTGGAATATCCATACGGCCCACAGATCTCTGGAGAGACTCCGTCCTGCCCCCCGATCAGATCTCCGAGCTATTTCTAGCTCAGACACCGAAGTCTGGAGCCTGCAGCCAGGCATGTACAGATGAAAATTTGCTGCTTCAAAAGTTTATTGCCTTCTCCTGCAAGGCGGTTCAG